TCCTGCTGCAGTTATAATGCCACTAAAATTATTTGTAAATGATGAAAGAAAGCAAAACAATAAATAAAATAAATTAAAAATCCAAATTTTTATAAGAGAAATCTCAGGAGTTACAACAAAATTCCCCAACAGAATGACTCATGAGAAAAGACGCTGGGAGCAGAACAGATATTTGACCTTTGTGAGCCACTTACTTTGGTTTTAAGTAAAGTAAACAGCACTCTCCTCGCTGCATCTTGTCCATGGCTCGGTCCACCCCCAGAGGAATGCCTTTGTCTTCACCTTGACCGACGACAAAGCTCACGTCCCGGCAGTCGAACAGTCGGTCCCCACAGCGTCCCTCCAGGTGTACTGTGGGACACACGGCACACTTTAGACTCTGATTCTTACGATTTCAATTTTTATGAAAGAGTTCGCTCAGAAATGATTGACTGTACCATCGACACTCGCTCCATCGTTGGGATTACTGTAACCGTCCCCTTTGACCTTTATTCTCCGCGTGATGCCACCGTCATCTGTAAGTATCTCTTCTTCGAAGTTAATCAGCTCCATCTGTGTTGGGGTGGAGGGGAGAAAAAATGTAGCTTCTTTAAAAACACTAAATATAAGGCAGGACAGGAAATCTGTACAGAATGTAGAGTTTGRTGCTTTGGCACATGTTGGAGGTGAACAATGATTTCAAACTAAAAACAAGTCAGAGGATTTGGGGGATTTTTCTCAATGGATTAAATCATGTCTACTGAAGTACGTTTATTGAGAAATTGGACATTCATCATTACTTTCCCGATACTTTTCCAAGCTTAATCACAATTATCCCTAACAGACAGTCAGGAATGTCAGGAATGAGTAGAACTCAGGCGACACTGGTTGTTTTGTAGGGAAGATTTAAGTCGTCAAAATTCCTCATTTTACATTCAGACAAACGAGACACGACTCGACAGCAGCAGAGTCCCTCAGCCGAACGTGTAATTAATGCAAAGCACAAATGGCAGCACTGGTGGGGCACACCTACCTCAAACACCACTGATGAGTTGGGAGGAATTCTGTCGGGATTTCCAGCAGCGCCATAAGCGTATTCTGGCTTACAGAGCAGCGTGGACACCTCACCTCTCCGCATGGACAGCACGCCGATGTCCCACGCCTTCAGGACTTGTCCTACACGAGGACAAGGAATCATTAATGACAAATTTATCAACTTACATTGATTAAATATACAAATAAAATAAAATACACTMATAATTTAAAACTAAAAAGGAACAAGCTGAACCAAATCTTGTCTACATCCATTGGATTTCAGTTTAAACATTTAAATTTATGATCTATTATCACAACTTAATAATTTAGTTTCATAAGTTATATCCAAATTGCCTCAAACAGCAAACATCAATTTTGTTTCAATTTCATAAAAAGACAACTACTGCCCATCTACTCCAGATTCAACTATAATAAACTCATTAAACAAAAACAAGAACACAAACAATGAGTTTATTGTTTTTAATAAAGCCACTTCAATGAATCATTTCCTTGTTTGTGAAATATGAAGCTACCAGCAGAGAACATTAGACTAACTTTGCATAAAGTCTGAACACAAGATGGAAATTAGGTCTGGCTTTAAAAAAAAAGTTTTAATAGCACATATCAACATCAACTCATTAGATATGCTATTAGTTTGATAATAATTCATCACCTTTTGCTTAAATATTGTCAGTTTTGACTTTAAAATGGCAAAAAGGCCAAATGAAAAACTCAAACACAAATCAAACCAAATGCTTTAACTGTTGTCTCACCATAATCCCCAACCATTATGTAAGTGAGCATTTTTACAAATGTTTAAAATGTTCAACTTTTTCTAAAACAAGTGACCCTTGAGCACACCAGCAACATCTAAAAGGAGCCTACCTTTGCCCACGTTGAAGCAAAAAGGCTCTTTGCGTTCTCGACTGCAGTCAAATGTCTTCCCTGTRAGCAGTTTTCCAGTGTAGTGTACGGTGACCCTGTCCCCAATCATTGGACGGTCCCCATCGAGTCCCTGATGCTTCACGACCTGAACGAAGACCAAAAGACCAAGCATTTGGCAAAGATGTCTAACAACGAGACGACTGTGAGACAGGGAAAAGGAGGGTAACATCAGGAATGAAGAAAAGCCAAGCAATGACAAAAAAAAATCACCTTAATAACTCCTTGGTCTTTATTTGGCGTCACATCTATGCCCTTTGCAGTAAACACAGCTGCTGAATGGTCGTCCATCGGTAAAAACGGATCTGTGGTCATTTTCTGCTCTATATGGTCATTCCACGAGAACACTGCAACACATGCAAGCAAAAAATATAAACAATCTGAGCACGGCCAAATAAACAACCTCCGTTTTCCACAAAAACTGACACATGAATCAATTTTATGGAATAAGGTTTGAAAGCTTTAAATGTCTCCATGGACACTGATGTGAAAACAGATTTTTTTTTTGTTTCCACCTCTAGATTACATAACCTGCAGCTATCAAAAGACACGTGTTCAAAATCTATGCATTGTACTGGAAAAACACTTAAAGTTTCGTCGGAAAAAAGCCCCATTTGCCTTGATTGCCGTTGTATGAGAAGAACAGCTGTAACGCATCGCCTGTACTCCTGCACAAATTAAACCATTACATAACGGCAAGTGCGTGTGCATGTTGCTTTCTTTCCCCTGCACTCACAGAGGTTCAAAGCAGTACTTTAACTCTGCGCTCTTTGGCCGATCCTGGACGATGCCTGGACATTTCGCCGAGACTGAAATGAAAACAGGTGAACTCAGACGTTCTCCTCTGCTCGTTACGGTCAGACGTGAGGTCGTCTTCCTGAGAGCATCGTCCACGCAGGGGAAGGCGTGGGTCTGACCTCACGCACACACAAAAAGCTGCGTCACCACAGACTCACGTATCCTTCAGATTGATCAATACACTGATAGAACGTCTTATCAGAAGTTTCAGCTGCCCACAGTTCGGCTTCTTTTTGTCTGAGGAGGAAGTAACACAGMTCATACTGTGTCTCTTTTGGAAGATTTGGCAAATAAATCCAATAAATAAACATTTATGTTACTCTTCTTTACTTGTGCCGGTTGCATTTATTTCAGATCTCAAGAAGAATGTGAAAACATCTATTCAGTTATTTAGGGCATTCTTTTATTTATTTGACCTATTGTGTTGAGGTCTGGACGAGTGCGTGTAAAACATTTACAAATCCACTTTTTACTTTGCAAAAACGTGCAATGAGAATCTAAACAAGAAAACACTACTATCACCCTACAAATATTCTGTTTAAACCAGGGGTGCCCAAACATTTTCCCTGAGGGGGCCAAAATTAAAATCAATCTGAGGGCAGCGGTCCAAACGTAATAATATAAGAAATGCAAATACTTAAGTAGTTTTATTTTTTATGATTAAGCTAGCAGCCATTTTTTTCCAGCMCATGGACATGGAGAAAATTCAACGTATGCTCGGGCAGCAAAGGCTCATGGGACTTTTCATAATTTAAAAATTTGAGTACACGTGGTCTTATAAGGTGTGCAAATCTAGATATGGGGCTTAAATCTAATCTAAATGTCTCTTGTAGTTACTTGTATTTTATATTTAATCTTAATATAATTACAATCTAATAACCAGGACAACTGCTGGTGGGCCACATCAAATGGCTTGGCAGGCCAATTTTGGCCCGCGGGTCCCATTTTGGGCACCTCTGGTTTAAACAAGTGGAACTGTTGAAATTTGGTAAATTGGTTGATTATAGTATCCTGTTGATTATGTATAAGGCTCATAAAAATGTATTGCCACCTAATATGCAATCCAACTTTGTTAAGAGGGATAGTGTTTATAATTTGAAGGGACTTGACATGTTTGTAAAGCCAAAAATTARAACAAATTTGAAGGAGCGATGCACCTCTGTTCGAGGAATTAAACTGTGGAACAACTTGGACAATGACCTTAAAAATGCTGGAACAATTTATTCATTTGGTAGAAAGCTTAAAAGTTTTCCTTTAATGAGATATGAACAATGTGTTGGTTRAAATTGAGATTTCCGTTGTGATGTTGTTTTGTTAATTATTATAAGCTATACTGTGAAAGTTTAGTTTAATTTCTGCATGTTGTATGTTTCGTAGATATGTATTTTTTTTAAATGGGGCAGATGTTACAAGGTTTTTTTCTTCTTTCTGCTCCTTTTCATTTGACCATGCTGAGTTGTGTTTTTTTTTTTTTTGACGCAACATTTTTATTATTTGTATTGTTTTAATTGATGTTTGAATGAAATAAAGAAAAAAAATGAACGAAAAGCCAAAAGGAAGCAAAGCTAAAACTCTATTTAAGAGACATCTATTGGTGTAAATAACTAATACGRACTTTATGTGTGATGTCAGCTTTTGTTTCAATATTTGCTCTTTGTCTGACCTGCGTAGCGCCAAGTTTCAACATCAAGCCCTACAAACAGTCAAGGATTTATACAAACTTAATGTTTATTTTTATCTTTATTCAACTTTACCCAACAGATTTGTGAGGATGCAGCTTATTGACTCGATAGACACATTTAAAACTTGATTTTAAGTACGATTGTCTAACTTTAAAATGGCTGCTCTAACTACAAACCAGAATGTTGCCAAGATTTCACAAAATGTGACCAGAATGAACCTCTCTCTCTCTCTCTCTCTCTCTCTCTCTCTCTCTCTCTCTCTCTCTCTCTCTCT